AATTTCCTTTTTTATCATTTATTCATACATACATGTTTTATTTTTTTGTTTATTTAAATATAAATTATTTAATAATTACGTCAGGCAAATCAGTTCCGTAAGAACATTCGTAAATTAGATTAAACCATTGTAAACGTTTCTATATATAAATATATTATATCTATTAACATTAGTCATTCCACAAATAATTTTTAGAAAGATTGAACGAACCTAAGTTTCGTATACAACTATAAATATACTTATATATGAATACACAGTTACAATCAATTCTTTTGTGTCTGTAAAATAGTTGCCAAATTTAATATATACATATATATATACATATTATCGTACAAGTTATTTCTGAATTCGTTGACAATAGGAACACCTACAAAGTCTCACCTATGAATCACGGACTTTAATTTCGGATTTACGTTCTCTTACAAGAAACGTTGAGTGATCACATCGAATGGGTGAGCGAGTAACTGAGTAACTGAGTGAGTGAATAAGTGAATAAGTGAGTGAGTGAGTGAGTGAGTGGGTCACGGGCTTTGCGTTAGAAGAATCACGAATGAGAATTGCCGTCAAAATATTCATAAAACTTAATAGTTTGGATCTACACGTATGTAAATGTATCAACACACTTAGCTATATTTATACGTTTGTGTCTGTCAGCAACAAATAGGGGGGAGGAAGAAGGAGGGGGGGGGAGGAAAGTGGTTTCTACTGATGGCCTTGACACACTTGGAGACCAAAAATCTTTCGAACATAATTAGGCTAGAGAAAGGATTCGACTAGGAAATGAGAATAAAAAAATATTCAATGATATATTTCTATGGTAAAAATCGTACGAACAAATTCAAAGTATTACTTGAGTGTTATTATTGCACTTTATTGAGGCCCCCCACCCCACCCCCTCCTGTTCTCGTTATCTATCGTAACTATACTTGAGATCCGTTTAGAAAGGTTTATAGTGTTTGATAATGTTGTTTTTTACTTACTTAAATCTTTTATTTATCTCAACCGACATTTTTATTGCAATCAATTGTATAAGGTTGCAGTTTCTAAATTAAAATAATCTATCTGAGTCATATCAAGCCTTACGGTGATTACCTGTTTAAAAACAAGCCAAACTTTTTATCCCGATATTACATTTACCAGTTTGCCAAATGTATACCTACGCTTTTTTGGCCAATGACAGAGATTTAACGTTAATTTCGAAAATTCGAATTAATTTTCGCGAATCTTTGAGATTCGCCCAAATAATTGTCCATCTGATTATTATTTACGAGCTTATTTTTTTCGAACTCGTAATATTTTTCCCTTTTTTTTCTTGTCATTTCTCAAAGGATTTAAAAAAAAACAGTCAAGGAAGTAGATATATTTTATTTCATTTAGTAGTTGTTCAGATAATTTCTACGTGGTTTTTTTTCGTTAGATAAGGAACATAGTAATACGATACAATTTTTACTCGTTGACACGTTCGCGTATTGTTATTATTATTATTATTAGAATATCTTTTACCGATTGGGAAAAAAAAGAAACAAGGAAAAACGAAGGAGAATCCTTTTGTTTCGAAAATAATTATCTCCAAATAGGAGATAGGTATTTTCTACTTACACGCGTAGGTTTTCTCATTTTTATTTCTCTTTCTCTTTCACTTATGATTTCATCTAGGCGTGGTTAATTTGGATTCTTTTTTTTTTTCTTTTTTTTCATCGAGCACAAGTTACGCAAGTTTATTCTCACGTTGTTCGATCATCTCGTTGTTATTTTTCATGATTAACATCTAACCAAGAGTAGTCGATACGGTGAAATAATTCATTCTAAAAATAGTTATTCTGTTATCGCGTTAATTATAGCATTCTCAGTTATTCATTTTGTAGCTTATTAGGTAATTACGTTTCTTCGTTCTTTTTTAAATGCCTAATAAAAGACGTTTATTTTCTTTTTCTGAATTAATCGCAAATTTTTAATGAAAATTGTTTATCGTCTAAACTGTGTAACGTTGTTGGAGAAAAATTGTATGAAAATAAAAAAAAAAAAAAGAAAGAAAAATTAAATTAAAATCAATACAGAAAGAAATAATTTTCGAAAGCGTTCGACGAAAATGAAAAAAACAAACAATTTATTTATATTTTTTTTTTTTTGTTTTTTTTTTTTTTTTTTTTCAAATAATAATTATCAATGTATGATAAATGTATGAAATCTTTTACAGATTCGACGGACATCGTTGATTGCAAGTTGAAATTGATATTAGGATTAATATGGAAATTGATTCTACATTATTCGATATCGATGAAGATGTGGGACGAGGAAGATGGGGACAATTTCGACAAAGGAGCAACCCCTAAACAAAGACTGATGCATTGGGTACAATCAAAAGTACCCAATTTACCAATCACCAATTTCACTTCCGATTGGAATGACGGTAGAGCTGTTGGTGCTCTAGTTGATGCAGTTGCACCAGGTCTCTGTCCGGATTGGCAGGATTGGAATCCGAATGATGCTGTACAAAATGCATCCGAGGCTATGGGTTTGGCTGATGATTGGCTCAACATACCACAGGTAATTATATCTATAATAAAATCTATCTAATAAATATTATATCTAATATCTAATAATTATATTTATATATAAAATAAAATATATCTAATATCTAATAATTATATTTATA